CTCTAAATTAAGTTCAGCTTTTATATCTAGTACTTTCCTTTCTTATCATGTATTTCAGTTTTAATTTATTTATGACTGTTCTTTTTTCATAGTTGTTGACTATCTGGTTCCCCACTTGACTAAAAGCTCCAGCTAGCATGTCAGATCTCTAAGGAGATCTCTGTGAAAGGAGTTAATGTCTAGGTAACATTCAGACTTTTAAGGTATGATTATTTGACACCAGATATCCATTTAAAATATGAGAAACACATTAGAAATGAGGATTTAAAGCTATTTTTAATAGCTTCTGGAAGAAAGTGGTATGTTGATATAATAAAATGAAATTCTAACGTGGTAATAATCACATATATGAATAACCTTTTTAAAAATTTATACAAAATTGGATCATACCATATGTACTATCCTGCTCCTTATGTTTTTCACTTAATCATGCATCTTGGCCGGTTTCGGTGGCTCACACTTGTAATCCCAGCACTTTGGGAGGCCGAGGCCAGCGGATCACAAGATCAAGAGATTGAGACAATCCTGGCCAACATGGTGAAACACCGTCTCTACTAAAAATACAAAAATTAGCCGGACATGGCTGCTCGCGCCTGTGGTCCCAGCTACTCGGGAGGCTGAAGCGGAAGCATCGCTTGAACCCAGGAGGCGGAGGTTGCAGTGAGCTGAGATTGCGCCACTGCACTCCAGCCTGGCCACAGAGCGAGACTCCGTCTCAAACAAATAAACAAAAATCATGCATCTTGGTGTTCTTTCATGTCAGCACTTGATGCAGAGGTTGCTGGTACATTTCACGGCTGTATTATGTTCATTGTAATTTATTTGCCAGTTTTCTATGTTCAGCCCATCTTCTGATATTATAAAACATACAGCTTGGCATATTTTTGCAGGTATACCTAAAGGTATATTATGTTCTAATATGGTTTGTCTGTGTCCACCCAAATCTCATCTTGAATTGTAGTTCCTATAATCCCCACATGTTGTGGGAGGAACCCAGTGGGAGGTAATTGAATCATGGGGCCAGTTGCCCCCATGCTGTACTTGCGATGGTGAGTGAATTCTCTTGAGATCTGATGGTTTTATAAGGGTCTTTCCCCCTTTGCTCGGTGCTTCTTTTTTCTGCAACCATGTGAAGAAGGACATGTTTGCTGCTTCTCCCACCATGACTGCAAGTTTCCTGAGGCCTCCCCAGCTCTGTGGAACTGTGAGTCAATTAAATAAATTACCCAGTCTCAGGCAGTTTTTTATAGCAGTGTGAGAACAGACTAATGCATATTCCAACAGTGGAATTGCTTGGTCAAAATATGTGGTTTTTTATTTCGATAATGTGATGTGTAATTTTTGCCTCATGTTTCTTGATCCACAAGATATTGGGGAGATTTTCAAATTTCTAATGGAGGTATCTGATTAAAGATTTTAAGCAAGATAAATCACTCAAACCTAGAAATGATCATAAAGTAATCAAAAGTAAAGTGACGGTACACACTCTGAATTGTTAAATAGTAGAGGAAGAAAATTATCAGAAAAATTACAACCTATGCCCCCATTTAACTGCTGATTTATTAGACAAAAAAGAGAAAATCTACACTTGTTGGCTTGTTATATTATACTAATCTGGCTTGTTATATTATTGAAAAATATGTTTTTAGCTAAGGCTAGCCACTAGACCAAATTAAAGTAGACATTCTCTATTAAAGATGCTTGTTCTCAATGAAAACACATGGGCACAGGGAGGAAAACATCACACACTGGGGCTGTTGGGGGTTGGGGGCAAGGAGAGAGAGAACTTTGGACAAATACCTAATGCACGAGGGGCTTAAAACTTAAATGATGGGTTGATAGGTGCAGCAAACCACTATGGCACATGTATACCTATGTAACAAACCTGCACGTTCTGCACATTTATCTCTGAACTTAAAAAAAAATAAAAAAATTAAGATGACTGTTCTCAAGTATGGAAAGCATTTAGAATCTGGGGTGCATGTTGTTTGTAGAGATATGATATTGACATGGAGATGCCATAATTCTGTATCACAGGCACTGTAATCCTATATCATCCCTCAAATCTAGAGGCATTACAGTGGATTTGAGATTAATTTGTTTTAACCTGTTCTGGCATCACTGGATATTCTTCCTACTCTGGAAACCGTCAGAGTCTAAGACCAACAGCAGTTCCACTTTTGCTATCAGGAAACTCATTGACCCCTCCTATGTTAACAAAGAGTTGCTACTGTTGGATCACCTGTTGCTATGTTTTGACAACTAACAAAAATCTCCCTCCTTTGCCGCTCCCACCCCATTTGATTGCAGAATAGAAGTGTGATAAAACATTTTCATTGCCTAATACTGAAAAGTAATTGTACCTTTGGTTATTGAGTTAGCAGGGTGGAGATTGGTTGGTAGAGATCTCAGAATAAAAGATCATTGAGAAACTATGGTTTGATTTCAAAAATCTTACATTTAAAATGGAGATCAATAAGGGAACAACATAAAATTGTTTTTTATCAACTATTGATGTCCATGTAGAAATAATTTAAAGTACTGATGATTTATACCCAAGGCTCCTTTTTTTTCCCCCCCAGGGCAGAATTCTGGCATTCTTAACATTACTGAGCTATTCCCTTTTGACTTCCAGATGGTAATAAAAGTGGAACGTTAAAATACGGAGTTATTCTGTCTTTTTGCAAGGAAGTAAATGGTCAGATGTCATGGTCAAAGCCTAGGTGGTTCTGTTGTTTTGAGAAAGGGTCTCACTCTGTCCCCCAGGCTGGAGTGCAGTGGCACAATTATGGCTTACTGCAGGCTCGACATCCTGGGATCAAGCGATCTTTTCACCTCAGCCTCCTGAATAGCTAGGACTACAGGTGTGTACCACTATGCCCAGCTAATTTTTGCATTTGTAGAAATGAGATTTCACCATATTGCCCAGGCTGGTTTTGAACTCTTGGGCTCAAGCGATCCACCCCTCTCAGCCTCTGAAAGTGCTAGGATTACAGTCTGAGCCATTGTGCCCAGCCCAGCCCAAAGCCTGGTTTTAAAGAAGATTAGCTGTATCTCTTAAGCATCTTTAAAAAGGACCACAATACTTACCTCTATAAAAGGAAAAAACAACAACAACAAACCTAAAAACAAGAACTTGCTTTCTAAACTTTTATTTAAAAAAAGTTTTAGGTCCAACATCTGTTTATGTAAATATCCAAAGGAAACTCCCAACCTTGTGCACGTATATACTCTTCAGCTCTTCAGTGCCAACATTGTTCCTACTGTTTCTATTATACATACATATTTATTTTCATGTTTGTCTGCTATGATAGACTGCAGAAACTCCCCTCCCCAACCTCCCTCATGACTACTGTAATAGCTGACACTTGGTGGGTGTTAAGAATGTGTTGATTTAATAAATGAAAGTCTTTTCCCTACCAGCCCTAATGCCAGTTTGTCATCCAGAGGCTGACTAGGGATTTGTGTTATAGCTCAACCTCATTCTAAAAATTCACTAGTAAAGCCTTACAAGCTAGTACCACTGTGATTGCAACAATAGTGACCAGCCATCTATTTAAAATAGATTTTTCAAAACTATCAATATAGGCCAGATGCAGTAGTTCACATCTAAAATCCCAGCATTTTGGGAGGCTGTGGTAGGAGGATTGCTTGAGCCCAGGAGTTCAAGACCAGCCTGGACAAGATGATGAGACCCCGTTTACATTTTTTTAAAAAGTATCAATCTAATATATGCTTGTTTAAAATAGTTAAATAGGCAATAACAGTGGCTTATGCCTATAATCCCAGCTACTTGGGAAGCTGAGGCAGAAGGATCACTTGAGGCAGGAGGATCACTTGAGGCCACGTGAGGTGTGATTGCGCCACTGCACTGCAGCCTGAGCAATAGAACAAGATCTTATCACTTAAAAAAAAAAAAAAAAAAAAGTCAAATAGTGCAGAAATGTACAAAATAGAAAGTACCCTCCCCCACCCACAAAGTATCACAGTTAATTGTATAATGGGTATTCCTGATACTTCATGGCAAATGGCTAGTGATCAGGAAACAGGCTCCTTGTGGATTTAGGGACCCGGAGCAGGAGTCTGAGAAGAAAGCACCTTAGCTAATCGGGACTGTGATCCCGGCCTCGTCATCTCCTTGCTGCACTGTGTCTGATGTTGCAGAGGGAGCAGAAATGTATACCGCTCCCTGCACGGAGCTCTCTGCTACTCCATTGATTCATTTGGCTTTGACAAAAAGGATATATATGGTATATTTCTTTTCCTTTTTCTTTTTCTTTTTTTTTTTTTTTTTTTTTTTGAGAGTGAGTTTCAGTCTTGTTGCCCAGGCTGGAGTGCAATGGCACCAACTCAGCTCACCACAACCTCCACCTCCCAGGCCCAAGCAATTCTCCTACCTCAACCTCCCAAGTAGCTGGCTAATTTTCGTATTTTTAGTAGAGACGGGGTTTCACCATGTTGACCAGGCTGGTTTTGAACTCCTGACGTCAAGTAATCCACTCACCTTGGCCTTCCAAAATGCTAGGATTATAGGCAAGAACCACCATGTTTGACCTATATGGTATATTTCTTTAAAAAAAAAAAAAAAAAGTATGACCATAGAGCTGAAAAGATGATGAAGTAATCATCTGCCTTCATTCAACAGTGGTCTAGACCCTCAGCCTGTTTGAGGCTCTAGATTTAGAATAACCTTTATCATCTGAAGGAAAGGTACATTTCACTTGAAGCAGACACTTTTCTATACCAGCAGCCTCTCCTTCAAGCCTCACTATGGAATGTGCTCATTTTGCCTCCTGTTGTAAACTTGCTAGTTGTCCCTTCTGGCAAGTTGATGCATAATTACCTTTTGTCAGACGAGAGTCAGGATCAGGACCTGGGGGACTGAGCCCAGCGGGTGTGGACTGCTCAGGCTGACCTTCCTTGACCCTGCTCTCTGGCCAGCTTCTGCTGCTCCAAAAGAGCAACCTCACTGCAGGAGATGTACCTCTTAGGGTTGCTTCAAGAATGACACCCATCCTTCTCTCCTGGAGACTTGGTTGCCCAAGAAAAAGCATGTATATAAATAGAAATTCTCCTAGCAATAGGAATAATATGAACAGTCAATGTGGCAAATTGAATTAGCTGTAAATCAGTTTTCTTAACTTTGAATCAGGGTTAATTAATCTTAACCTCTTTGACTTGACAAAATAAGATCAGAGAGAAAGGTTATTTTCAACATTGAGGGTTAGCCAAAGTAAATCAGCAATGATAATAACACAAATAGTAATAAAGTAAGAAGAGTAATATAATGAAAACTGTTTCGTTGAGCACCTATATATCAGAGGCTTGATGCTAACTAAATACCGTATTTATATTGCTTTACAAAATTTCTAAGATGAATTGCATGTTAGATATTATTATCCTCATTTCAGATGAAAGAATACTTAAGTAACTTGGCTGATTATGAAACTGTTAGTAGTCCAGCATTTTGGGAGGCCGAGGCGGGTGGATCATGAGGTCAAGAGATCGAGACCATCCTGGTCAACATGGTGAAACCCCGTCTCTACTAAAACTACAAAAAATTAGCTGGGCATGGTAGCGCGTGCCTGTAATCCCAGCTACTCAGGAGGCTGAGGCAGGAGAATTGCCTGAACCCGGGAGGCGGAGGTTGCAGTGAGCCGAGATCGCGCCATTGCACTCCAGCCTGGGTAACAAAAGCGAAACTCCGTCTCAAAAAAAAAAAAAAGAAACTCTTAGTAGTAAGTGATTGGGCTGTGATTGGAGCCTATTGTACAAAGTCTTCGATTTGCAACTCTAATCAACTGACATTGGCTTGGAGTGGTCTAGAACTTCAATGCATTGTCCAGGGATGGCCAGAAAGAGTGCTGAGACTGATTAGCAACATCTGCTGTGAGCCTAAGAAGGGACTGGGGGTAGCAGAATACAGCAGCATGTTTCCCTGCTGCATCACGCTGCCTCTCAAGCTAATGTAACTGAGGGAGGAAGGAAAGTCTCCTCACCTTACAGTATATTTTGGTGAAGTGTCACAGTGTGACACTCTTGTGATAAAAACCACCTGGTTTCAAAGTGTCCAGAGGCTGAAATGTGCCAGGGCAGAGCTAGTGGCTCCCCACAAATAACAATCATCCCATTGGCCAGGCAGCCCCCACAGTGCTCCCAGCAGCAGCACTATCACATCTCAACAATGCGCCTTTGCCCACAGACACATGGGCCCAATGGCTGGCACTGACGGTTTCCCTGAAAAGTGCCACTGTCCTCTGTTCTGAGTCAGCCTTATTGTTCAGAGCTTAGAGAATGAGGCACATGTCCAGATATGGGACAATAATATGTGCTATACACTTGTGGTCAGCAATATTGTAGGTCACCATGATATCAAAACCTTCAATTCTACAGTGCTCTGAAATGACCTCCCCATGCCCTAACCCTCAAACTTGTGAATACCTATTTGCCCATAATTCAAATACCATTTCCTTTGAAGTCTTCTAGGATTACCACCCACTAGCCAGAGTTAGCTTAATGATTTTTTTTTTCAATCCATTATCTAAAACCATGCCAATACATATTTGACCCTTGAAAGAATAAATGAACTTGTGTGAATACCTTAGAAATTGGGAATAAATTACAATAATTTTTTGAGACTCAAAAGGATGAAAGGATCATAACTATTTCAAAGATACATTCTTTGGATCTACTCTGATCATGTGTGAATCTCATAGTCTAATAGCAGATAGAGTAAAGGAAGGGTTCTGGGCTGTATGATTTCTGGATATAGTGGACTGGAGTCAGTGGGGAAGGGGATGCTCTAGAAAATGTGGTTGGATGGTTCTGAAAGAATCATAGACGTGAGGCTAGTGAGCAAGGAGTGATACAGTTTGAAAGTGCTTCATTTGCATGTTTTCTTGCTTTGGCCTTGTACGAAAGTCATTGACATCTCCCCCACTGGTATATGAAAAGCAGATAACTGATGTAGTACATAGTTAAACAGCAGTATCTATGGCTAGATGCATTTTATAGCCACAGAGGGAACTTCTGCACAAAACGTTAACTAGTTTTCAAAAGCCTACTGAGCTGGGCGCAGTGGCATGTGCCTACAGTCCCAGCTACCCAGGAGACTGAGGTGGGTGGATCGCTTGAGTCCAAGAGTTCTGGGCTGTAGTGTGCTATGCCCACCAGGTGTCCGCACTAAGTTCGGCATCAATATGGTGACCTCCTGGGAGCAGGAGACCACCAGGTTGCCTAAGGAGGAGTGAACCGGCCCAGGTCAGAAACGGAGCAGGTCAAAACTCCCGTGCTGATCAGTAGTGGGATCCCGCCTATGAATAGCCACTGCACTCCAGCCTGGGCAACATAGCAAGATCCTGTCTCTTAAAAAAAAAAAAAAAAAAAAAGTCTACTGAAAATCAGATCTTGTGTCTTTTGCCCAGTGGAATGCTTTGGGCTGTAAGTAATAGAAAGCAAAACTTTGAATGGGTTATACAATAAGCAAGATTTACTATCTTAAGAACAACAAATCTTGAGATAGGGTCACAGAATGATTGGTTAATTCAGCAGCTCTGTCACATCTTGAAAAACTATTTTGCCATCCTCTGTGTTGGCTTTGTTCTCAAGGGATCTCTCGGGATTGCAAGATGGCTGCTGCATTTCCAGGCGGTACATGTTTAAGGGCAAGGAAACCTTTACCAACCTGCCAGAAGCCTCTTGTTACATCATCTTGGCTAGAATTGGGGCACATGCCTGTCACAAACTCACTCTACAAATCACTGGTAAGGAAAATGGGGCTACCAAAACTGGCTTAGTTATTTCAGTTTTACTCCCAAATTTGAGATAAGGTCACCTTCCTTGGAAGAATCAAAACTTGGAAGCACCTCATCAAAATCAGGATTCTCTTAATAAGAAGGAAGAAGGTACTTTTCTCTTGAATAGGCAACCAACATTTTCTGCTACATATGCCTCAGTGGAAATGCCTCATTCATATTTCCATATTACTCTCTATGGTAGCAAATTATGGGTTTTTAAGCTGCAAGTATGTTAATTTGGTGATGGTGACCACTTTACATATTAAAAATGTAGCCATTGGCCAGGTACAGTGGCTCACGCCTGTAATCCCAGCACTTTGAGGGGGCTGAGGTGGGCGGATCACGAGGTCAGGAGTTCAAGACCAGCCTGGCCAACATAGTGAAACACCACCTCTACTAAAAATCAAAAATTAGCCAGGCATGGTGTTGCATGCCTGTAGTTCCAGCTATTTGGGAGGTTGAGGCAGGAGAATCACTTGAACCCAGCAGGCGGAGGTTGCAGTGAGATCATGCCACCACACTCCAGTCTGGGTGATAGAGTGAGACTCCATCTCAAAAAAAAAAAAAAAAAAATAGCCATCATCTGGTGAGAGAAAGGCAGTATACCCAAAAAATCCAGAAAAATCTCCATTACTTGATGCTACTAATGAAATCAACCCTTCATCCCAGAATTAGGACAGGTAGTGGATTGTAAAGACTTAGATCATTCCACTGGGAGGAGACAGTTCCTTGAGATAAGAAAGCAAAAAGAAGCCAGTTCTGTAATGAACAGGGGAGAAATGCAAAGGTCCTGAGGCAGAAAACTGAAAGTGTCTGAAAGCTGAGGTGACTGGCTCACAGTGAGCAGGAAGAGAATGGCAGAAGGGGAGAATGCAGAACGCGGAGAGAGAGGCACTGCAGAGAGGACTTGTCAGTCCTGAGAAAGGAGTTGAGGTTTTTATTCTGAAACAGAGAAAAATCACTGAGGGATTAAAGAGGATCTATATCTGTAAAATGACAGTAATCCTCTGCAGGACAATTTCATACACTGGAAAGAGTAACACCATTTGATAGAGGCTTCCTGTCTTTAGAGAAGCTACTTACAAAGACCCAACTTAATAGACAATTGCCAGGAATTCAACTTCATTATCTTGATTCCGTACAAAGTTGACCTTTAGTTCTGGTTGGTGGATGTATGCTTTCTGGACAGGTTAGCCTAGGGGAATCATTTATTTTAGAGCAACTCTAATAAGATATTTTAAATAAAAAAACAGTGCCTCTGAGGAGAAAAGAGGCTTAATTTCTCAATTCCGCGGTTGATCATTCATTGATCTCTCAACTGAGTTCTAGAGTAAGATGCTGCCCTTTTGGACAGAAAAGGTTAGGCAGGTCCATCTTCCCCACATGGTCAGCCAGGTCTCCTTTCAATACGGGGCATGGGTCACACGTTCTGGGACATACACTTAAGGGGCTGAGTTCGTAACAGCGGCTGCGTGTTCCCCTTACCAAGTGCTTTCCCACTGCAGGTTGTGTTTGTAGAACCTAGTGTGTTCCAGAACTCTCCTGTTTCTTTACCAGTTCCTTGATTTAAAAATTTTGTTAATTTTTTCTTCACTTTTTCAATAATCTTTATCGAACTCCTGTGCCTATGTGGAGATAAACACATCGCAAGGCACTGAAGAACAGTGTTAGGACAGTGTTAGCACATGGTGCTAGGGAGCTCAGAGAGTGAGCACTTATCTTGCCTGAATGGGCTTCTTGGAGGAGGTGACAGAGCTAAGGTTTCAAAGGAGTCTCACTCATGCTGACATCTCTGAGAAAGATGGATCCGAGAGTGGAAAGTGATTTGGAGACCGCTAGAGAAATCCAAGGAGAGACCAAAATTCTTGGTCCAGAGGTAGAGGGAAAGTTTGCTTAAAGAGGTAAAAAGGTTTTCAGGGAATAGAGCCAGGGGAACTTGGAGGATGATTGGGCATAGGGCAAAACTGAGGTAATTCCAAGAGTTTGCAGCCACACCCATCTGCTCTCTAAGAAATAGTTCCCAAGCTGAAACTCAAAGGTCACCAGCGTTCTTCTTGAGATCCTACTCTGAATCTATTACCCTTTTTCATGACCCCTTTTTGGAACATTGATGAAGAGGAAGTAGTATCATGTATGGTTTCAGAATAAAGTGCTTGAGTCATTCTATCAGCTCTTGTTTACAGAACGTATTAAGATGCTTTCAAGGAAATACAAATAATTATGATTCTTCGATGCCTATTTCCTGCCAGTGGTCAACCAGTCTTCTAAGTATGGTTTATGTGAGAAGTGAAACTATTTTCCTAAATGCTGTTTCTTTTCTCTTTTCATTATGAAGTATATTCGGTGCTCTTCGAACTGGTGCTTATATGGTGTACATTTTGATGACCAAAGGCCTGAAGCAGTCAGTTTGTGACCAGGGTTTTTACAATGGACCTGTCAGCAAATTCTGGGCTTATGCATTTGTGCTAAGCAAAGCACCCGAACTAGGTGAGTATCTTCTTCCATTTCCTCTCACTCTCTTTGCAGCAATATATCCACAATATTTATTTAGTGAACAAAGAAACAATCGGAAGGTCCTATTTTGTTGGTTGCAGGAAAGTTACAATGAATGAATTTGAGTTCTTGACTGACTTCTACTTTCTATTATTCGCTCCCTCTTTCCTTTTAAATAATTTTACATTGTGTATATTAAGAGCAGATAGTTACATTGAACAGGCTGATTTTAGAGCACTACAAAAAATATACTTCCAGGGGCTTATAATATGTACACAGCCCCCTTTCTGAGACCCACTGAGCTGAGCTAATATTAAAATACGGGGAAAAAAGAGCAACACAGCTGTTTCCAAGTCCCATATCTGAGCATTCTTTCATCTGCAGAGTTAGGATTCAGATTAGAAATTAAGCTTTTCATTTGGGGACCCTCATGTTCTCATTAACAAATGCTAAGGGTTGGTCTCTGGTGGTGTTTGCTTTTAATCTTCCAGATGGCCTTAGGGAAGGGAAATGTAATTTACTTTCTAGAAATTAATAGAAAACACAGGCTGTATTTGTAGATTTCTATAATTTTTCCCTCAACTCTTTAGTGATCTTGAATATAAGTGTGGCATAGGTTAGCAGACATAGTCAAGTCAAGGAGTGATGTGGGCACAGTTTTCCAGAAAATGTCTTTATTTACACAGAAAGATATCTACTGGTGGCAATAATGCTAGCAAACTGGTACAGACTCTTAGGCCAACCTGATCACCCTCTGGGGTT